CCCCAAAACCCCAAAACCCCAAAACCCCAAAACCCCAAAACCCCATTTCCTTAAATATGAATTGAAGAATTAATTGTTTAAGTCTCAATTTTTATCTTGAAATTGAATATAGTTGTGTAAGTAAAAACAAGAATTCTAAAAGTAATTTTTATAGATAAGAGAAAAGTCCAGTCAATAGGTATTCTTCAAAATGTTATACTTCTAAAACTAAAAATTGTGTGGAATCCTTCTAAAATGCCTAATTGTATTTATTAATGGTGTTGTGAAGAGAACTAGATGATGAAATTTGAATGAAATTAGTATATGAAAATATACCCTGTGCCCACTCTTTTCTGAGAACGTCCTGATGGTTTACTTCTATTCAGGGTAAATATTTAGTCTTACCTTTTCACTGGTCTTAGTAGTGGCTTCATTTTTAGATGCTTGGCTTGATAGTTGAGGCTGTTCTGGGATTTCAGACAATTGGGTGTCCTAAAATTGGTGCAATATACTTACTTCATTTACTGCTGTACTTTCAGGATGAGAGTTAGCTCTTTCTTCATTCGATCTCTCATTTCCTTCACTATTAATTCTGCTTGGGGATGAAATAGGCATGATTTGCAAGTTTGTAGCTGAAGGTCTTAGTTGGATGCTTCTGATAATCGAATCTTGTAGTTGATTAGAAGGATTTCTGTATGAGCCCATAAAATCAGAGAACAATTCATCCAAACCAGATCTAGAAGATCTATTTGTTCCTTCTATCCTTCTCTCTCTTCTATTTTGTGAAAGGGATTCTCTGTTTCTTCTGTCTCTTTGAATTGAGGTATTGAGAATATTGAGCCTTCTTCTTATGGCTAAAAATAAAGGTTAGAAAAAGGCTCAACCAAATTAAAAATGCATGTGTTTAAACTTACTTGAATTGGTTGGCCTATTACTAGTTGTTGAAGGTCTACTAATTGTAGCAGTAAGAATTCTTCTTGTATTTTGAGGCTCACTTTCATCCTTATCTTCCTCGTCATTTGAAGTTTGGTTAGATTGTGTCCTCAAAGGTGGCTCTCTTGCAGGTTGAACACTTGGTGGTTGAGACTCTTCTGCTTGTTCTTGAGGTGGATCGCTATTATTTTGTGGTCTTTCATTGCTGTCATTAATATTTTCTGGCTGAGCATTCCTTGGAGAATCATGTCCTCCTTCAACAACATTCCCATATATTCTTTCATCGGGACCACTGTGTCTGGTATACTTAGGAATATCAGTTCTTGATGTATAAAAGTTTTGAGGTGCAATTCTCTCAGAATCTGCAGGGATATATTCATCATAGCATCTACTCCATCCCTCATAATGAACATAGTAGAGATCAGCGCAGTTATATTTGCTCTTCAGTATTCTCTCTACGCTCCCAGTACACCAAATATATTCAGTATCACGAACATCAACCTTGTCTCCTATCGAAACATTTGATAGTGTATGTGACTTTTTCCACTCAAGATATTGATTTTTTCTATTTTGCCAATTTTTGAGATCCTCTTTCAAACTTTCAAATTCAGGTGATCCTCTCATGAGGATGTTTTCAACCGCAAAATCGATGAGGTTTCATTCAATGTTCTTGTCTTCCCTGACTTTTTCTTTTCAGATAGGGCAGAACTTCTCTCTCAAAAACCAGAAAGAGATTCATTGATCACAGAATCAATGGCCTCAATGTAGCTTCTTTGCACCAACCATGTAGTCCATGCAGATAGTTCAAGTGAAATCTTTGAGACTTGACTCGAGCTCTTCCTTGTTACTGAAAGATTTAGACTTTTTGTATTGATGCGACTGACACCTTCTGATTTGAGGCTTCTCTTTTTCAGTAACATCCCCCTTCTTCTCTTCGATGATAGCATTTTTAGGCTCAACTTCAGATAAGCCAAGGGAAAGAGACTTGGATTTCCCATTGAGTAGCACTTCATTCTGGTCAGCAAGATTTTGCAAGGCTTCTTTCTCCTCCTCTTTGCTCATGCCATATGGATCAAAGTATTCATCGTAATGACTAGGTGTCAAACTTTCTGCCCTTTCAAGAAGCTTCTTTGCTCTTAATTTAAATAATCTTTTGAGCTTCATGTCTATAATTTAAATTTAGGTAAGATTGCCAGAATTTGGTAGAATTAGATACTTAAATTTGAAAATATCCAAAATTTGATGAATCTTTACCTTTGTCAATGTCATCCTCCTCAAGTTGAAGAAGAGGATCTTCAGAAATTCTACAGTCAATTTCTTGATAAAATCACTTATCCTCGCTCTCTTCAGGAGTGAGAGGATTCTGTAGCAGTTCAAATTTACGTTTTCTTGTGACTAAATCCTGATTTCTCTGTTCTCCCATCCTATCGTTTAGTTGGTCTTGGGTATTCTCGTTCTCCTTGGTTCTGCTAATAATATATAAGCAAGTAAACACTTACCTGATTCCGTTCTTGATTCCATTACCGATTTGTTTTAATTTTTTAAACTATACGGTGTTAGGCGATGTAAGAAAATTAGTAACAAATCTTTATTAAACTCTTACAACTTAAAACATCAAGTATATCTCAAAGAACTTTGACATTTCAAGCCATAAGCAAAAGGCTGATGAAAGTTGTTCCTTCTTAAACTAATCAGATTCAAATTTGTAGGTGAAAATAATGGCTTCTAAAATGAAGCCGGTAACTTACCATAAACATTGCTCTGTTAATCTATAGTTCTTAATGTATGATGTGGAGTGTAGCTTTCTATATATTAAATGGTACCAATGCCAGAAAGATTCGAATAATTGTAGATGCTGTACTTACTGTGACGAAGCAAAAATTAGCCTTGACTATTTTTTATTATAAAATAATTCAATTAATTTTAAATATTAAGGGGTTTTGGGGTTTTGGGGTTTTGGGGTTTTGGGG